GGCCGTCGATCTGACAAAGTACAGCTCATGTTTGCCGTTTTTGTCGTGCTTGGACAAATTGGTAAGCGCAGCAGCCTCCGTTGTCAAGTTCTTTACTAACAAGACTTAGCCGGTGCCGTTGCCTTTGGAGAAGATGTGTGGATGGTTAGGCCGGACGAACTCACATTCGGCCTCAAAGTCAGTCACCATTCTGTCGTCACCAGTATTGCATCTAACCGGACCAGGTATTCTATGTCGACGAGAGCCTTTACCTAGCCTGCCTAGGCCTAACCAAGATATCAGTGCTATTCTTTTACCTCCGAATCTTTCCCAACAAACCGTTCCGCTGGGCAACGTACGGAACGATGGGCTATATCATCATCTCGACGACAGTCTTGCTCTTTATGCAAATATTCCAGTGCATTCCCTTCGAGTTCAACTGGGTAGGCTGGCGCGGCGACTATGGCCCGCACCACTGTCTCGATATCAACACCCTCGCCTTCGTCGCCGGCGGGCTAAGCATCAGCCACGACATCATTATCATCCTCTTGCCGCTCCCGTTGCTCTACAAGCTCAACATGTCCAGACGCAAGAAGGCGGGCATCTTTTTCATGTTCGGCCTCGGCGTCTTCATCCTCATCACATCCTGCGTGCGGCTACAGTATATCGTCCTCTTCACGCGCTCGCTCAATCCGACATGGGACTTTACGGACCCGCTGATCTGGTCCGGGGTGGAGGTATCTGTGTCCATGATTGTGGTGTGTCTGCCGGCGGTCCGGACGCTGCTCAACCGCATTTTGCCGAGCATATTCGGGTCGACGGCCGCGATGGAGATTACACCAAATCGCAAGGCGTCTGCCGGGTCTGGGTTCAGGTCCATCGACAGCAACCGGCAGTACCAGGGCCGGTTCGACTACGAGGAGGAGAGGAGAGAGGTCGCGCGGGCGGCGCGGCTGGTGGAGAAGAGGCGCAAGTTCTTCTCGTTCATACCGCAGGCTAGGGAGCCGAACGAGAGCGAGCTGGAGCTGGGGGATAAGTCCAAAGGGGAAGTGCGGACGGATATCAGGCATGCGGATGGTGGTGAGGCTGCTGAGACTAGGCGGAGCTCGATCGAGAGCGGGATTCACGTGAGCACTACGACTACGTTTGAGGACCCTCTAGGGAGAGGACAGAGGGACAAGGCAACGTTCTGAGGTGACCTCGGGGTCACGAGATTCGAATGGGTCAAGGCAGTCGATGAACCGGAGTCGCGATTCGGCGCCAGCTCGGGTTCACAGCACTGAGTCACTATTTGGAGGCTATGGGATACTACTGATTGGGGCATGGGATCTGTGATACCATTTGCATGGAGGGGCGTTGGTTTGACGGGCAAATACATAAAACGAACTGAACAGTGTAAAAGTAATAGTATTATTTGAACCTTCGTCAAAACTTCCTCGTGAAGATGGATGCGTGGTGGGGCTTGTCCGAACCGCTGACTTGGACGTATCCATCCATGGCCGGATTGCTCGCAGCTGAAGCATCAGCCCACGATATCAGCCCAAACCGGGGCTCAACTCAATCGAAAAGCCAAGTCTGAATAAGAATGCGCCACGTGCTGGAAACAAAGATCCAGAAACCAAGGGTCCAGGACTAAAATATCTTGACCTTACGGGGGACATTTACTCTACACGAGAGACATATCGCCCGCAGACCTCGTCGCGGCTTCGTGTCGTGGGATAAGGTTTGCATCCCCATCTCAAAAGTGGCGTGATTCCAGACCACCTGGAAGAAGTGCCGTTCATTCTCGATGTGGGAGATCACCAATCATCGGGCGCGCGGGGGCAGGTATGGAGGGAGCTTGATCAGAGCTTAATCTGTGTGAGTGCGTGTTACCAGGGTGAAGGGGGTAATTGATTGTGTAGAACTCTCTTATTGCTGCGCGGGGTTCTCCGCCTGAAGTGGCCGCCTGAAACTACAAGACCACCTTGTTGAGCGGTTTCGTGGCTTGGGTGTGGTGAGCTGGGGAGCCTAGAAGGATGGTGGAAGAAGTATGTTTGGGATGGGGCATGTTGTGGCGGTTCGGGAAACGCGGCTGGGGTTGGAATGGGGGGATTCAGGGACTGGACCCTTGATTGGAGTGATCCGTCAAGTGCGGAGCTGCCCGGCCGATTTTCCCACGATGGCCCCGAAAGGGAAGTCGTGAGCAAGGTAGTGGCTTTGTTGGGAAGGGTTGCTGGCAAGAGAAGAGAGATGCCGACACGGCGACCGGGTTCCGATGTCCGGCTCCGTGATACGGCCGGAGAGGACCGGTCGCAATCCCCACACCGGAGTGACCCACAATCACAACGGCATTTGTGTAGTTGTGCAACCAACGGGGATCTGATGATGCTCAAACGTCGTCGTACCGCATTGCTGCATCTCGATAACCCCGCTGATCTCACCGGTCTCCCCTCACTGGAACGGTGTAGGTGATGTCATGTTTTGCAATCACCATGCAGCCTAGCCAAAATGGACAGGAACGCACGTATGGGGAAAATCGTACACTGGACTCAGCTCAATAACCGACCTATTCCTGCAATGTGGCTGGCTGGATATGGCGATGGTCGAGACAGGACAAGTGAGACCATTGACTCGCCTCCACCCAGCCCGACGCCAGTTCTCTGCACGCTTCAGGCGCGGGCGAAAGGATCGCAGATGATGGATTTGGTAAGTCGTACGGATATAAGCCCGATACTCCGTTGAGAGGTTACGCATGGCAAGTCGTGCAACACACCGCATTGTTAAAGCCTACTCCTCGTCATCAGATCTTCACGACAATCAACCTCTCGCGGCCTCCTGTACCCCTGTGTTATCATGGGTCTCCTTCAACCAACTCTCGACCGTTTGCGTGCTGCTGATCTCGCAGTCATAACCCGCCAAATTCTGCAATCCCGATCATTCAGAAAACCCCTGGGCATCCTAGCCGCCTTCAGCCTCATCTACACCTTGAACAAGGCCCTCGTGCGCTGGTACCTTCGCACATCCTCACCCTGGGACTGGTCCAAAGAGATCGTCCTCATAACCGGCGGAAGCAGCGGCATCGGCGCGCTCCTCGTGCGCAACCTCGCAGCGCGCGACATCAAAGTCGTCACCGTCGACATCCAGCCCCCGCTCACCCCTCTCCCGCCCAACGCGCGCTTCTACCAGCTCGACGTGACCTCCCCCGCCGCGGTGCGCGAGGTTGCACAGCGCATCCGCGAGGATCTAGGCGGCGACCCGACGGTGCTGGTCAACAACGCCGGCGTCGGGACGGGCAAGCCGCTGCTCGCGGAGACGGACGAGCAGGTGCGCCGGACGTTTGATGTGAATATTGTGGCGCAGTTCTGGATGGTGAGGGAGTTCTTGCCGGCGATGGTGAAGGCCGATCATGGACACGTGGTGACGGTCGCGAGCATGGCGAGCTTCCTGACGCTGGCGTCGAATGTGGGGTATTCGTGCTCCAAGGCGGCTGCGTTGTCGCTGCATGAGGGGTTGACGCAGGAGTTGAGGTATCGGTATAATGCGAGGAATGTGTGTACGAGGTATGTGATCTCTTCTCTCTCTTCGTTGGAAGTTGGGAAGCACTGGTCTGATATGGGGAGCAGCATCATCCACCCAATGTTCACGCGCACGCCTTTGATACAGCGTGCTACGGTCAAGGGTGACTTTCCGGCGGATTTGCTCGACCCGGAAGACGTTGCGGACGCTATTACGAAGCAGATACTCCGTGGCAGGAGCGGGTCGGTTTTTCTGCCTGGGTGGTGCAGCCTGATCTCCGGAATTCAGGGGTTCCCGACAATATTGCAGGAGTTGATAAGAGGGTCCAAGGCCCATGTGTTGGACGGCCGGTCTTTTGCTGCTTGATAACGATGGGTTCGAGTATGATACCAATCTGGTTGCAGTGATACTGGAGGAAGTTCTGCTGAGCGTCGGTCATCATAGCATCAAATGCATGGATACACAAGCGATGCCGGGCTAACACTCCATCTTTGGAGCTGTCTTCTCACTGTTTCAAATCTCTACTGTTGGGCGCAACGTAGCTCGTGCAAGAACGACACGACTGGTGTCTCCACCGGGGTGCTTCTACGCTTCGTGAACACCTTTTCGGAGGATATTCGTGGCTCCCTTTGGCGAATACTTGCCTACTCAAAGTAAGTCTACGTACTAAATGCGATATAATCAATGGGATTCACAACCACAATAGTTGATTAAACCATTTCCGCGAGTATATATGCGCTGATCTTCTTGCCATGACGAGGACCGCATTCATTGACGGTATGGCCGCAATGCTGATGGTTCCGGGCGCCAATGGCAGCTCGGTGGCATCTAGTATTGCCAGTAATAAGACGGGGTTGAACGACGCGTTGTAGACCAGCTAATTCCAGCCAGACCGTGAAGACTGACTGGACATCCCGCCCGTTGTTCCCCACTGGCCGGCCCGGACCCGGACCGGTGGCTGTCCCTTCGGAACTAGGGGTTTACGGAACAGCATCTACACACATTTCGCTGCCGATCGGACCAGAATTTGACCTCTTCAATCGCGTGAAGAAAGCTTGGTAATCCGATTGGATGCCGTTTACTGGAGAATCAGAGATCACTCGGCCGGTGCGTGAAGCGCTTTGATTTCGATCGGTGGAGTGGCTCAAGGGCAGATCTGGGAGGCAGAGCGCCCTGCTGTCTGGTCGACATATAAGGATAGGCACTCTGAGCTCTCTGGCACACAATCTCAGCCGCTCAAGCGCCCAGACGGCAAGCGCCCGTTATTTTTTCTCCAAGATGAAACTTGGACTTTCTTCTTCGATCTCCGAGCAACCAACAACGATGCCGGGAATCAGCCATCAACGGCCTCGCTAGGTCAAGATAGGCGTGGCGCCCAGCCACACCATCTTAGTCTTGCCAGCCCTGCTAGGCTCCAGCATTGGCAAGATTTGGCCGCAATTGAGCGTCGAGCGCACAGTCCTGGGAGGGAAGGATAGCTATTAATACGAGAGCTGCCCTGAACCGGCATTCGCCCATGCTCAATGGCAGCGTACGACTCTCTCCGATTCACCAACCCGAGGATCGACAACATGCACCCTTGGCCATTCTTCTGTGTGGCCCTCGCGTTCGCTCAAAATGCCCTCGCCGTGAACCAGTTCCGACGACCTGCTGCCGATGGGCCCACAGGCGACTACAGCGAGAACCCAGCCTACGAGGTCGGCAAAGACATCACGTTTCTATGGGACACGGATTTTGACCAGATTGATCTGGTTGTGTGGAGCGACGCGTCGGATAAGCTCAAGACGTCTCTGTACAAGAGGCTCGCAGGTAGGCCTCCAAGGAGCAACGAGGTGATGGGATGTTGACAAGACTCACGATGACTGATTTTCTACCAGTGAATCTGTCGAGCAGGGCGTATACTTGGAAGCCCAGTTTCGATGGGTTTCCTGCCGAGGCAAAGACGCTGGGGGTCTTTTACCTGACCTTCTATCAGGAACCGTGAAGCAGGCTGCCCAGTCGCATTACTTCAACATCACCGATACGTCGGCCGCTTCGGCTTCGGCATCGGCTTCAGCTCCAGCGACGACTTCAAAGGTGACATCGACATCCGTGCCGACTTCTGCGGGCACGGCGACGACACCAACTGCGTACTCGCCACCCTCATCAACATCATCGCCTTCAGCATCCACCGATGCCGCGGTGCAGCAAGATGGAAGTGACAGCAGCGGAAGCGGTCTTTCTGCTGGCGCTGTGGCTGGCATCGCCATCGGGGCGGCCCTGGGGACATTACTTGCTGCTGGTGCTGCAGCATTCCTGGCATGGAAACGGCATCAAAAGAAGAACGGAGCCGACAAATCAGGCCCTGGTTCAAGAGGCAGCGCAGCCTTCGGTGATGCTGCGGCTCAGGGATACTACGCGCCGTCCGGGTACGCGCCCTCAGGCCAGTACACGTCGCCTGCATCGTATACATCGCCCTCGCAGTATGGCGGGTACTCCGCAGAGTGGAAGAGCCCGACGGTGCAGCCCGTCGAGCTGGCAACGGACAGAACTCCTGAGCTTGGGGGTGGGACCGAACATGTGGAGGAGCTGTCGACGAACAGGCGCAGCGCGATGAGTTAATAGAGTTGTAGCAGACTTCCAAATGTCAACGAAAGTCGACGTTCAAACCGTTCCAGCTCCCAATGATGCCAAACCAGTCGAAGAGTTGCTGAGATAAGCGGACTTCATCCCGCTCTCGAGATTGAAACGTCGGAAAGCTTATTTCGCAAAGAGAAGGAATTGCCGACAGTTGCCGTTCTCTGAGAATTTGGGGGAAAAGGGCACGGGTTCCGAGTTCCCCGAAGGCTCGAGCTTCACACAGTCAGGTCGTTAGCAGAGCCTCATAACCAACCTCGGGACACGGATTCCTGTCAAAACTGTCTCGTTTTTCCTTCGAATCAAATCATGTCGTCAGTTGTCAGAAAAAGCAACAAAAGAGCTTGTTGGTGACCGTCTCCAACCAGAAGCTGTAGCACTGGACGGGCGGTGGAGAAGAGCGCGACGGCCGCCCCACTCACCGCCTGAGACAAGGATCGCACGGGCCACTTGCCGCAATTTTGGTCTGGGTTTTGTTGGTTGGAACTCCTGCTCGAGTGTCCTGAGCGTTCCCTTTCCACGTCCCAACCTTACTCACCAACGCTTTATCTGCCCTTCCCCCCTCTCTCCCCTCCACACCTGAGAGGGAAATTCCAGTTCTCACTCAAACGCAAACTCTTGAAGCTTTCCCAGCGCCTGCTTTAAGCTTCTCAGCTTCGACCCGGCAGCGCGGTCCAGAACTCTGCCGGAAAACCTTTCCGCCACTTGCGGGCCGCTTCTTATTGGACACCTGTCTCACCAGCCACTTGCCGAACGAACCATAACCACAACATGGCACGCCAGGCCAACGTCGCCGCCTCCTCGGGAGCTGCCGCCTCAGCCGGCGGCGCCGGTGCCATTGACCCCCGCGATCGCATCATGTCGCACATGAACCGCGACCACAAGCGCGAACTTTCCTACTACCTGCAGCACTTCGCTGGTCTTGGACGCGGCGCTGCCTCGTCTCCGTGGATGAAGGACGTCTCTTTTGAGGGCATGACCATTGCTGCTGGTGGCCTTGGCGGAAAAGAGTACTTTGTTGCCTTTAACCCGGCGTTGACCTCGTGGGAGGAGGTGCGCCCCGCCGTCGTCGACATGGCGCGTGTGTCGAGGGAGGCCCTTGGCTACAGCGACATTACCGTCTCGCACTTTGAGGCCTCTTCGGGATTCGCCTTGATAGTAGGCATTTCGGTCGCCTTCTATTTCGTCTGCTACCTGACGCTGGGCTTCGTCTTGCCCGGCCGACCGATTTGGGGTTTCCTGCAGACGGTGTTTCCCGGTGGCCCGTTGTTTTATCGCTGGCTCGTCAAGACCATCTTCTTTCCTGTCTTGGGAATCCATCTCACCGAGTGCTGGTGGTTCCACAGGACTCGTCTGGTGAAGCACGGCATCGAGCCTGGCTCCAGTGTTTGGTGGCAGTGGGTTAGCAGCCTGTTTTTTGAGGGTTACCCTGGCTTCCAGAGGTTTGATGCCCTCGTCGCGGCGAAGAGGAAGGAGCAGGCGGAGGCGGGCAAGAGCCACTGAGGGCTAGGTTCGAGACAAAACGATGTCTGGTTTGGGCTGAGACCACAGTCGACGGAGCAGGCGACGTGGGAAGAGTGAACCGGGCGTATGGTAAACAGAAGCGACGGTCATGCGTCAAAGAGCAACTCTGTTCGGACCCGACACTGGCTGCCGCTGGCAAGCCGCACTCAGCAACAGGTTACCGACGCTGGTCGGGTCATTCGATACCCAGGTTTCGGAACCGATCTTTGTTTGCAGAGACGAGTGACGTGTAGAGTGCCCTGGGTCGAAGAGAAAGCATAGCCGTCCAGGATACTTCTCGCCGAGTACTTCTGAGGGTCGGTCAGCCATTGTAGTTGATACGAAAGTAATGGTAATGAAAAACAGCTTGCGTTCACAATGGTTCGTTTCCGGGTGGAGGCAATCGTGTCTGATGCTGCCCTCATGGTCAAGGGAGACAAGAATTGCTGCTCGGTTACCAGTTGTCTCATGCGCCTTCGCAGGTATTGCCTTCTTGAAATTGCGTCTGACGTGGCGTTGGCTGCATTCATTTCGGGTGCAGGAAAGAGGTACCTGCCAAGCGAGGGTATCACACCGCAGTGTATGATGGAAACTGGGGCTTCTGGAAGCTATCAACTGCCGCGCACAACTAGTGCCTCCCGCCTTATTCCCCATTCCGTAGTAGGCGCGAAGCCTAAGGTAGCGTGCCTAGCCAAAAGATCGACCCGACGTTGCTGCATGTTTCAATTGTCAGAACGCTGATCGGTTGTTGACGGCAACAGGTAGGTCCTTTCTCAACGCCGTTTGGCGCCGTCCGCCGGAACGGGCTAGGGCATTGAGCGGGACCCCACCTCGGCTACCCGTTTCCCACTGAAAACTAACCCGGCTCCTCTTTCCGACCTTTCACCTCCTTCGCTTGCCGCCTTCCGTCTCCTTCTATTGCAGCAATATTCTCACCCATGGCCGACGACGACACTCGTCAAGGTCGCACCGAGTGTCCGCATGTTCAGTCAATGCATGCCTCGCGGCACATCTGTCTTCGACGTTTCCATGCCTCGGCTCGCTTGCTTTTCGATGGAACGTAGTTTTCTCGGGACATCTCCAACCTTGTGCACCGCAAACCAGCAAACAAGCTTAGCCAAGGCGAACCTAACGACTGGTGCTTCGCCAGCTGCAAGATCTCCATCATAAGGCAGAATATCTCCATATTTTCCCGCGCCAGTCCAGCCTTTCCCCGTCGAGGCAAGCTTGCGAGCCTTTCCAGTCCTTGGTGGCGTCTGCACCCACCCGCTTTGGACCACTTCGTGTGGTCACATCAACATTCAAGTCTTTGTCTGCGCGGGACGTCGATCAACACGAGGGCGAATATCTCTGCCAAGTATCGAAAGTGGCTATTAAGAGCCTAATCGCATTTCAAGAGCATCAAGATCGATGATTCTGCACCCGATGCCCATGACCAATATATCGCAGTCTAGGCCCTTGGGCCCTCGCCGCATATCTGGGGACAAACATCATGTTTGCACCAACCACCGCCTCTGAACCATCCCGACGTAGATGTGTCTTTGTCTGCCGACATTCAAGCGAGGTAACATGGCTCACCCCTGGCGAGCTGAGCTGGAGTTGACTTTCTCGAGGGGCACATGCAAGCCTCTCGAAAACGAGGTAGCTATTTTTGTCTCGAAACTGGCATCGAAATCAATCAAATCTCTCCAGCCATTGCTGAGTGCTTGCAAAGCCAGAGATATTGAGCATCAGAGGCGCAGTCGGGATTGCCGTCGCGGATGAGCTCGAAAAGCAAACTCGACTTGGTGGTTGTCGGCATCACGGGCCGAAGTTGGGATCTTTGTCTTTGAACGTTGGCTGCGATCCTCTTCCAGTTGCCGATGAGCCATTCTCAACAAATGCGGGTGACTCCCAAACACAATCAATCCTGCATGGCGGCAATCACGAAGATCGTCGGGCTCGCCTTCACTTAAACGACCTTTGCGGGACACCGCCGTCACAGGTGCCTGCCTACCGCCATGCATTACACGCACAAGCTCCGAAGCAAGCGGGGGTTGCCGTCCTCACGGACACGAGACGGTTGGCCAGCTTTTTCCGAACCTCTCCCTCCACCCGGAGCACTCCCCGGAGCTGTCGTTAGTTTGTGGATGCAGCTGGAGAACCTCGTCGTGCCGGGTCCTTAGCGCAGCCGAGGCACGCCAAACTACAACGTTATGTGCACTAGCTCACTCTAGTGGTCGATACAAACGTCATACAAGTGATGGAGGAAGTTGCCGATTGAGACCACTAAGAACGAGCCAAGGGAGCGTGTTCGGCAGCCCGATCTCCTACTGGAGGCGTGTTTTGGCCATCATGGAAGTTCCGATTGTCACCACATTTGGTATGAACGCGTGGCCATTTCACCGCGGAAGGATCACTATTCATGTTTGTCTTATCAGGTCTCTTCAATGACTCTAGGCCTTCTCAATGGCTCGCTTCCATCCAATCTACATGGCGCAGCCCTGGCGTACCTTTCGTCTGGTTGAGGGCGAAGTCAATTCAGCACGGAATCGACGGTTTGGTCGCGCTGTGCCTGAATTGAAGCGAAGAATCTTACGCTCGGTCTCGCTCTACTGCAAGGGCCATTACCGCATTCGGGACTTTTTCGTCCAATGCTGAGTCTCTGGCTTTGCTGCGTAGTCGAGCATTGACAACGGAAAAGTCAAACAGCCTCAATGCCGGCGGGGTTGAGTCGCTAACTTTGTAGCTAAATCATGAGCCCCCGCTCCCTAAGGCGTCATCCTCGCCTGTGACTGGCACGACTGGGAGCTTGGCTGCGGGAGTACGATGAGATCACTAATATGCTACCGTGATATCGGCAGCCGTTTAAACTCGCGAAGGGGCCCATGTTGGGGAAGGCTTAGAATTCGTCATGGACGGCTATGGAAGCATGCATTCTACCAACCATCGTCGACAGAAACTCACCGACAATCTGGAGGGTCCGAAAAGAAGAATACGGCCGGCCCAAAACGGCGGCGCAATTGCAATGCCGCGCCGGCGGCTGACCCCGCTCGTACTCTGACTTTTCGCCCGCACCACTCGCCGGGTTGACCGCTGCTGGGACCCCTATGCAAGGCGATGGGGTTGGCACACCTTGCCCGGCCACTGTCAATTGAACAGTTGATTCATGTCACATCCCAAAGGACGGCCGAGTTGCATATGATATGCAGGTTTGTCATTCTGCAATATGAATTCGCTAGCCGCACGTGGCTGGAAAAACGAAAAACTGGACCATTGTGGGCATCGAGGTTGGATCGCTGCGAGCTGAGAGGGGCAAACAGGGCTCCCCAATTCGGACACTCTTGCGAACCTACCCACAATCCGTCCTGCCCCGGCTAGTTGGCTCTGAGGCTCTATCGATGAACCCTCCAACTGCCCTGTCATCCGCACATCTGGGTGCCGACTACACTCGTATGAGATGGGTCCCCTGCAATAAACAGGTGGGTGGCCCATGCGACGCCCGTCTAGCCTCATCACTCTCACCTGAGTGCGGGCTGGCTATCCGGGGTATCCATCACGACCATGGGACGATTGCGGGAGACATTGCGCATTCTCGGACCCAAACACTAAGAGCAGGCCCGGGGAGATGGAGATGGTCTCCTCGGCAAGCATGGCCCACCGTGGTTACGGCAGAGTTCGTTGACATATTAAAGACAAGGCCCAATCTCCATTATCGTCGATGGATCACCACCGGCGCTTCTCTTAATCTCAGCGACTGACAGCTGTGAGGCCACTCGTTTCCGTCGCAGGTCCCTTGGTCCCTAGCCCCCCACGCCAACCCCAGGTCTTTGATATCCGTCACCTTGGTTGAGTGGTCGATATCCACCATGAGGGCCCAAACCACCATCAGCAACGTCCTGAGGGCAGTGGTCATCTTCTCTGGTCTTACCACTGCCACCCCTCTCCTCCGTCGATGGACTGTTGGTCAGACTGTTAACACCACTGGCGGATTGGTCAATGGTCATCCCGCCCCCGATGTGGACCAGGTTAGCTAACTACGCTGATGTTGAAGAGCTCAGCTAACTGGGGCAGGTTTCTGAGTATCTGGGCATTCCGTACGCTGAGCCGCCCGTCGGTAGCTTGCGCTTTCAGCCTCCCGTCAAGTTCACCGGCACCAAAGCTATTAACGGCTCCGCTTTCGTAAGTTTCAAGACTTCGGGGAAGCTTGCCTGGCAATGCTCTCAAAATTTTCCACACGCTTCTGAACTTGAGACTAACGAGCATTGACCAGGGCCATCAATGCATGCAACCAGCCGGCAGCAGCACCTCTCTCGACGCCATTAAGAAGCTTGGTGTTCCAGCCTCAGCTGCGGTAGTTCTCACCGCACTCACTGATACCGGCTCTCAGAGTGAAGACTGCTTGACTCTGAATGTGTGGTCGAAGCCACAAACCGGCGATGCCAAGAAGGCTGTGTTGGTCTGGATTCATGGAGGCGCCTTCACAACAGGTAACTTAGCGACCGTCCGATGTTTTCGGCAAACCGGCCACTGACTCAGTCGCAGGAAGCTCCCGAACCGCCGCCTACAACGGAAGGTTCATTGCAGACGAGAATGACGTTGTGGTCGTGTCCATGAAGTGAGTTTCTGCCAGAATTCGGATTTAAGGGCAACTTAACTAACACGGGTCTCCCCGACAGCTACCGCCTCAACGTCTTCGGCTTTCCTGGAAATCCCGTTACGGCCCCTAACCTTGGACTTCTCGACATCCGCATGGCCCTTCAATGGGTTCGGGACAACGTTGGCAGGTTTGGAGGCGACTCTCAGCGCATTACGATCTTCGGCCAGAGTGCTGGCGGGTCGCTCGTGGACTACTACTCGTATGCCTACGCGTCCGATCCGATTGCCAATGGCTTCATCCCGATGAGCGGAGTCGCCACGGGCTTTGGTGTCTTCACCAACGAAACCGTTAATGCCAAGTGGTTCAACGTTACCAGCAACGTCGGTTGCGGCGGCAACACAACAGACCCCAAGACCGTGTC